GGCGATCACAGTCAGGGGGGACTGCCGGAGACCCCAGCAGTCCCCCTGCAGCAGCTCCAGGCTCACCCGGCCCTCCAGGGCCATGTGATCACCATGATCACATCGCCGCAATAGGAGTCTAGGAGCTGCCAGCAGGGGGACTGTTTGAGCTGTCAGACAGTCCCCCAGGCAACTAAAAAGTAAAAAAATAAAAAATATTATATATATATATATATATATATATATATATATATAAAATTTATAAAAACGCTAACTTTGGCCAGCATTTGTGACTAAGTGGCTACTTCAAAAAGACTGGACGTACCCCATTTGGAATACCCTGGGTTGTCTACATTTGAAAATGGTATGCCACGATGGGGTTATTTCCCATTCCTGGGCTACCATATGGTCTCAAAGGGCAACACAGCAAATAAATCTGGCAAACTGAATTGGGCAAGCCCTATATTGACCCTGTACCTTTTCAAACCACCATAAAACCTGTACATGGGGGTTATTTTTATACTCTGGAGACTTCGCTGAACACAAATATGAGAGTTTACAACAGAAAAACTTATCACAACTATGAAATCACCAGTAAAAGTGCAGTTTTTGTGTAAAAATAATGCAAAAAACAAATATGAACGCTAACTTTGGCATGTGTTTATGGCTAAGTGGCTACTAAAAAAGACTGGACATACCCCATTTTGAATACCGTGGGTTATGTCCTTTTACAAATGGTATGCCATGATGGGGTTAATTTTCATTCCTGGGCTGCTATATGGTCTCAAAGGGAACATAGGCCCAGCAAATCAATATGGCTAATTTCAATCTGCAAACATGGAAAAGGGGAAAGCCCTACATTTGATCCCTGTAAGTTTGCAAAAACCCATAAAACCTGTACATTGGGGGCACTGTTGTACTCGGGTGATGTTGCTGAACACATATTGGGGTGTTCTTTGGTAGTAACACATAACAGGAACTGAGAATCCATGCCTAAAGTACAATGTGAGAGAAAAATAACACAAAAAAAGACTACCCAAAAGTTTGACAAAGACTGGTGGTAGAATTAGTTCGTGGAAAGTGTTACAATACCACCATTGAAAATACCCTAGGGTATCTACTTTTAAAAAATATATGTTTTGATGGGGTAAACTACATTGGCCAACTTCAAAAATGTCCCAATTAGGACATGGGTGCACGATGACCAGCTGTGAAAATTTCAAGTGCCCCTGGTCACAGCGCTCCTGGCTAACCTAGTTCCATGCTGAACCCAACTCCCCCACCCCTACCACTTCTTCTTCCTCCCCCTTTTTCTTTCCTTCTATCCTCACGCAATCTCTCCAGACGGGTAATCACCCGACCGATAAAACACTTGATGGGTGGACATCAGACTAGTGACTAAAGATCCGTTGCCAGCAGGCGGAAAAGACTCCCGGTGGCATATCACGGACAAGACAGGGGTTCCTCGGCCACAATACATGACTAGCAGCCTCCATGGACTTGGCCCCACTAGGCTGGTACCCACCGTTACACTATACCGATGTTCCACCATGGTCATGAATAACTGTAAACCTGCAAGATGCCCTCCGGCATTGATGTTTTACTAATGATGTCAACGCTGTTACCTTTATTGTCACATGACGGTTTCTATATGTCAAATATTGTTTTGTATACCACTTTCTACAACTCAAGCGAAAATAAAGAATAAAGAATGAAAAAAAAAAAAAAAAGAAAAGAACCAAAATACCCCAAGTTTAATACCTCACATTGTCTTCATGTGAAGGCTTATTGAGGGATTCCTGTGTGTATCAGTGTTACATTGTAACTTGCGTTATTTTGAAAAAAAAATGGAAATAGCAAAGTGCTACTTGTACTTATTGCCATATAAATTTCCCAAAAAGCTAAGAACATGGTAACATTGAGTATTTCTAAACTCAGGACAAAATTTAGAAACTATTTAGCACGGGTGTTTTTTGGCGGTTGTAGAAGCGTAACAGATTTTGGGGGTCAAAGTTCGAAAAAGTGTTTTTTTTTTTTCATTTTTTCATCTAATTTTATAATTTTTTTAATAGTAAATTATATGATATGATGAAAATAATGGTATTTTTAGAAAGACCATTTAATGGCGAGAAAAACGATATATAATATGTGTGGGTACAGTAAATGAGTAAGAGGAAAATAAACTTAACGGTAAGAAAATTAAAAAACGGTCTTGTCACTAAGGGGCTAAAAAGCCTGCAGGGACAGGCAGCACACATCAGAAGAACTACATTAAGCTACAGTTGTTCTGGTGACTATATTGTCTCTTTTATTTTTTATTCTCAGAGCTGTTTATTGGTTGCAGCAGTAAGATACAATGTAATGGACACGCAGGTCCAAACAAAATTTGAGTAATCAACACATAGCTGCGACAATCAAACAGGAAATAACGGACACGCAGGTCCTAACAACCATACAATGGTATGTTAGCAATCAGAAACTTAGAGTAAATGTGTACCTCGAGCTGGTTTAGTCAAGAGGGTGCTAAGGTTGCTATTATGAATTGGAATAATTATAGGTCGTAGACTGAATTCGGCTTATTGGAGGTTTTCATAGCAACTTTCTGAGGCAGTGGGCTGTGCTTCGTGGGGGGTATGAGGGTGATTAAAGGGCGTGCATGGACGTGTAATAGGTTATGTTCGGGTATGCTGTCTTGTTGGTCGAATGTGTCCTATTGTGTCCAGCAGGGCTATTAGAAGTTGTCTCCGTCTTAGCTAATTGGGTAATAAGTGCATGTCTGATTTCTTCGGGGCGGTCTATTATTGAGGTCTGTTTGTCCGGGGAGATCACCTTATGTCATTGGGGCGGCTGTCCCCATACTGTTCCCTAGGTAGGTCGACGTCTGTGTTGAGTCAGCCGTATGATTACCTTAACTATCCCCTTATCTCCTGCAAGCCTCAGCCCCAGTAAGATGTTGGAGGTTGTTGAGCCCACTTTGGAGGTCAATAACTGTTTGTATACATGTTTACCCCGTTCATATTCCCAGATATTGTGGTTGGAGTGTTTGCCCCTAGACAAACTATTGTGCATAAATATGTAGTGTATCTGTTGGTAACCTCAGGTTGAGTTGTACTGCATCAGTTATTCAGTCAGTTTATGTATCATCGATGTAACGATCGCCTGGCACCCCGACTGGGTACCTCCGTTAAAGGATGCTCCTAGCGCTTCCTGAGGACTCCAAGCACTGCAGCAGACACCACAACCACCGAACCGGAGAAGCATATGAATCCTCTCAAGCATATGAATGCTGTAGACAGTTGAATAGGAACCATACGAATAGGTTTACTCTCCTAGCAGTCAAACTGGAACAGCATACAATAAATCCTTCCCCCAATAATGAGACGACACTTCACTTTGAGGGTTAAGCAGGAACTCCCTGTACTGTCACATACAGTCTCTTTTATTCCCAATCCACAAACATAGTACAGCCCACAGGGCGTTACAAAACAGCCAATCAATCCATACAATACACCCAGACACTCCCACACAAAATCCTCCCCTCTGGCTGTGATATGATTACTGAACACAATGGGTAATCTAATTATCACAGCCAGAGAAATACAGTTTCATAAAACACATCACAGGGACCCCAAAACATGCAATAACCCCATAAAAAGTATATCCTTGGAACTGGGGATCTGGGTGAACCACATATCCAAAATTCACCCAGATCCGTTCAGTACTTTGGAAAATACAGTTTAATGCAGATTCTGCAGAACATATACAGGCTAAATAAAAACAATCACTGTATAATGTGTCCCCTGCTGTATAGTCCAAAACCACCGCACGATGTCTCTGTGCAACAAATACTGGCGAGATGGCACCGTGTTGAAAAGTCCAAACAGTGTCTGTGAGTTAAAATGGCCGCCATCCATTGTTCTCACCATGTGCTTCTGATACAGGAAATGGTGGCCACCCAGTAACTCCCCAGTATGTCCCCAGATAGTTCTTAAAGGGCCAGCAGCAGCACAACACAAATCCATTATGCCCAAATCATGTCTTTAAAGGGCAATACATCCCAGGGGCCATGGTCACATGGCAGGAGGCTGGCAACCAGGCTTCTCCAGTGCATAGTGGCGAGGTTGGTTCCGCCACACTTCTCCCCTTTACCAATCAGACTAACAGGGTATCTGACCTCCTGCCGGTCAGTGCCCTTGTTAGTCCAGCAGCCCAACCACAAAACACAATCAGTAATACAGCCCACCCACAATAACTGGCTACTACACCTGGGTAGAGGAGAACTTTGTCCGTGTCCAGGTGCCTCACCATGGCTGTGTGGGTGACTGGTAAGCGTACTGGGTGGGTTGCTGAGTTGGCAGAGACCAGCGGTACTCTGTCCTGGTGCCAACACTACCACGGGAGTAGTCTGGTTGGAGCCTGGTTGCTGGAGGGGGAGACAGACTGTCTCCCCTTTGCCTAAACAGTCCTGCTGCTGGGGGACAGGACCGACTGTCCCTACCCCCGGTGGTGCATGTGCAGAGACCACTGTCCCATCTGCACTGTTGTGGAGATTACTGTCTCCCCTTGGTGGGCTAAGCTGCCGCTGGGGAGAGGGGGTAACAAGCTCCTCTCCCAGACATACTTTCAGCCGCTGGGGAGAGGGGATAACAAGCTCCTCTCCCTGACACTCCCTCTGCTGTTGAAGGGGGAGACCGACTGTCTCCCCTTTCAATAATTTGTCCTGTTGCTGGGGAGAGGTGATAACTGGTTCCTCTCCCTGGAACACTCTCTGCTGTTGGAGGGGGGGACCAACTGTCTCCCCTTTTAATATATTGTCCTGCTGCTGGGGAGCGAGACCGACTGTCTCCGCTTCCTGCAGGACACACTGCCGCTGGGGAGGAAGTACGGCACCTTCAGCTCCCTGGGATACATACTGCCGCTGGGGAGGAAGGACGACACCTTCAGCTCCCTGGGATACACACTGCCGCTGGGGAGGAAGGACGGCACCTTCTGCTCCCTGGGGTACACACTGCCGCTGGGGAAGAAGGACGACACCTTTGGCTCCCTGGGACTCACACTGCTGCTGGGGAGGAAGGACGGCCCCTTCAGCTCCCTGGGATACACACTGCCGCTGGGGAGGAAGGACGGCACCTTCAGCTCCCTGGGATACACACTGCCGCTGGGGAGGAAGGACGACACCTTCAGCTCCCTGGGATACACACTGCCGCTGGGGAGGAAGGACGGCACCTTCTGCTCCCTGGGGTACACACTGCCGCTGGGGAGGAAGGACGACACCTTTGGCTCCCTGGGACTCACACTGCCGCTGGGGAGGAAGGACAACACCTTCAGCTCCCTGGGGTACACACTGCCGCTGGGGAGGAAGGACGGACACCTTCAGCTCCCTGGGATACACACTGCCGCTGGGGAGGAAGGACAGCACCTTCTGCTCCCTGGGGTACACACTGCCGCTGGGGAGGAAGGACGACACCTTCAGCTCCCTGGGATACACACTGCCGCTGGGGAGGAAGGACGACACCTTTGGCTCCCTGTAACTCGCACTGCCACTGGGGAGGAAGGACGGCACCTTTGTCTCCCTGTAACTCAAACTGCCGCTGGGGAGGAAGGACGGCACCTTCAGCTCCCTGTAACACACACTGCCGCTGGGGATCTGGGCCGACCGCCCAGCATCCTTGTAGGGCCAGTAGAGAGACCGCAGTCCCATCTCCACCTGCCATCTGTGGGTCTTCCCAGGACCAGTCTGTGAGGTCCCTCAACATTTGCGAGTAAGGACCACTGGCTTCCGCACCCGCTAACTCCGGCTGCTGCTGGGGATCTGGGCCGGCTGCCCAGCATCCCGTTGGGCCCGGTGGAGAGACCTCGGTCCCATCTCCACCTGCCCGTTGTGGTTCCTCATAGGACCAGTCTATGAGGACCCCTACTTCGGGTTCCTCTGGCCGCCTCAGGGGGAAACGGTTAACCTCCTCGAATGCAGCCTCTCTTTGGTTGCTGTAACACTCCTTCCGCTGAGCATATTCTCTCTCTTTCGCCAGCCGGAATTCTCGGTCCATCCTTGTGTTTTGCTCGGCTGTGACCTGGTTCCAGATCGCCTGGAATATATCCATGGGCACATTATCACCATACTGGGCCACTCGCTGCCTCACCTCGGCCAGCCAATCATCACCAGAGCCTTCCATACTTGTCTGCTCCAAGTCGCTGGATACCTCTGCTCCCGGGGCGCTGCACGTGTGCTAGCGTTGCCCTCAATTTGTGACTCCACAAACGGTGTCTCTGAGCTGCTTTACCTCGCACTAGGACGCCATCCCACCGCTTGCCACCAATCTAACGGATCGCCTGGCACCCCGACTGGGTACCTCCGTTAAAGGATGCTCCTAGCGCTTCCTGAGGACTCCAAGCACTGCAGCAGATACCACAACCACCGAACCGGAGAAGCATATGAATCCTCTCAAGCATATGAATGCTGTAGACAGTTGAATAGGAACCATACGAATAGGTTTACTCTCCTAGCAGTCAAACTGGAACAGCATACAATAAATCCTTCCCCCAATAATGAGACGACACTTCACTTTGAGGGTTAAAACAGGAACTCCCTGTACTGTCACATACAGTCTCTTTTATTCCCAATCCACAAACATAGTACAGCCCACAGGGTGTTACAAAACAGCCAATCAATCCATACAATACACCCAGACACTCCCACACAAAATCCTCCCCTCTGGCTGTGATATGATTACTGAACACAATGGGTAATCTAATTATCACAGCCAGAGAAATACAGTTTCATAAAACACATCACAGGGACCCCAAAACATGCAATAACCCCATAAAAAGTATATCCTTGGAACTGGGGGATCTGGGTGAACCACATATCCAAAATTCACCCAGATCCGTTCAGTACTTTGGAAAATACAGTTTAATGCAGATTCTGCAGAACATATACAGGCTAAATAAAAAACAATCACTGTATAATGTGTCCCCTGCTGTATAGTCCAAAACCACCGCACGATGTCTCTGTGCAACAAATACTGGCGAGATGGCACCGTGTTGAAAAGTCCACACAGTGTCTGTGAGTTAAAATGGCCACCATCCATTGTTCTCACCATGTGCTTCTGATACAGGAAATGGTGGCCACCCAGTAACTCCACAGTATGTCCCCAGATGGTTCTTAAAAGGGCAGCAGCAGCACAACACAAATCCATTATGCCCAAATCATGTCTTTAAAGGGCAATACATCCCAGGGGCCATAGTCACATGGCAGGAGGCTGGCAACCAGGCTTCTCCAGTGCATAGTGGCGAGGTTGGTTCCGCCACAATCGCTATATTGTCTCTTTCATTATGGCCATGGAAGGCAGAGTTAAAATAACTTGGCATTGTCTTTGTATTAGTTGATGTTTTATTTAGTGAGAAACGTACTGTCACAGTTATAAGGAATCCATCCATCCATCCATCTGAGTAATTTTAATTTGCACCCTATCTCCTGGAGCATATCAGTCAAGGCGACTGAAAATTTACATATTCAAGGCAACGACAGGTCAGTTTACATTTATGCAAACTGAATTACTAACATTACACCTTAATCAACTCCAAAACAGTTATGTTTTGGAATTCAAAAGTTTAAATTTCAAAGAGAATATTAAAAGTGTAGATGGATTGATTATTTTTTTTCCCCAGCTGTTTTGAAATTGACTTTGAACCCTACCTAATTTAAACATTAATGAATAATTCTGAATTTAGTCACAATGCCACCAGAAAGTAAACATTTACCTCACATGTTATGCAGTGCTGTTCCCCCTTTCCATAAATTTCCAAATTACAACAAAGAAGTTGACATGTGTCACCAAAGGTGATAATCGTCAGAATACAGTACAGCAAGTTTCACTACTGAGGGGAAGTTGTGCCAGGTGAAGATAAATGGATACACTATACTGGAGCAATAAAGAAATTATATATAATATATATATATATATATATATATATATATATAATGCTTTAATCCCTTAACTACGAATGACAGACCCAGTCCGTCATGCCAGGAAAGCACTTAACAAAAGATGACAGACCAGGTCCGTCGTGTGCTAAAGTTAACCCCAGATCACCGCTATTGCGGGATTAACGCTCCTCCGGTCTGCCTCGGAATTCGAGGTAGACCAGGGGCACCCGATTGTGCTGACATGCCGTTAAAAATAAATACAAATAGTTTAAAATCCCACCCCCTTTTACCCATTTTAAATAAAAATTAACCCATTCCCTGCCAATTGATCACTGACTACAGTGATCAAAATACAGATCACAGTATTATACTATGATCCGATTTTTTTTTTAACCCCTTAGGGTTAACTTGTATTTTTTTTTAACCCTCAGGGGCTCAATTTATTTCATTAATTAATTTAAATATTTTAAAATTATTTATTTTGCTAGCTGGTGTGGGTGGGAGTTATGGGAAATTGGGTAATTTACTGAGAGTGCTGCTTACTGCTAGTTATGGGATAACGGCAAGAAAAAAGTTAATAAAAATGTTAAATGTGTAAAAAAAAAAAAAGTTAAGAAAGTTTCAAAAATTTAATAAGCAAAAAAGAGTTTAGAAACGAGTTTTAAAAAGTAAAAAAAAAGTTTTAAAAAAGTAAAAAAATATATATTTTAAAATGCTCATTGAAAATGATACACCTGGAACAAACTAGAGAAAAAAAATGATCCCATGCTAAGGTTCAAAATATGCCTTTTAAATGACCCCAGGGTGTATTCTTTAATAAATAGTATTTGTTTGTGGGGAAGTTTCAATAACCAACCAGCTAAACTACTCCGAAATGGAACATGTACACAGCGTAAAACTTCAAAGTTAGAAAAAAACTGAATGTCTGCGTCTCAAATGTGCCCCTTCAACATCCACATATACCTGGCAAAGGTACATACGGGGGTATTGCTGTGCTCAGACGACATAGCTGAGAAACACATGAAGTATTATACAGTTTTAGCACGCATAAAGTTTGCAAAACATACTGTGCAAACTCACTTTGTGTGTCAAAAAGGCGGAAAAAAAAGCTTATTACCACTACACTTGGTACAAGCTAGCGGAAAAATGATACCACGCTAAGGTTCAAAATATGCCTTTTGAAATACCCTAGGATGTCTTTTTTAAGAAATGGGATGCCTTTATGGTGCAGTGGAATATGTAGCCAGCTCAAATGCTCCAAAGTGGGACACAAACGCATCAAAACCCTTCATGAAAATTCACACTTAAAAACCTGAACTTGTCACGTTTTTTTTTTTACAGCACTGTAACTTCACAAAATAGTGTCTAGGTCATACATTGGGCATATTGTTTTACTCAGAAGATGTAACTGAGCATCATTTTATTTATTTTTATTACAGTGGTACATATTAAGTGTAAGAAATACTCGGCATTTTTACATATATGTTGCATTTTTGCTATTCCCCCCTCCCCCTCACCATAAACATTGACATAAACTGGTAAAAAAAAAAAAGTGACAAGTTTAGGCATAATATACACCATATAAGATACCCTGGGGTGTCTGCTTTATCAAATAAAAGCCCTTTGTGGGTTATTTGAACAGTCACACTGCTATAATACCCTAAAATGAGACATAGGCCCGTCAAATCCATCTATGAAAATTCTAACTATAGAAACTGAAATAGCCCTGTCTCTTCCTGACAGCCACTAGAGGCGCTTCTGCGATGCTGGATGCGAAATTCGCATCCAGCGTGCAGAACGTCCATAGAAAAGCATTGAGGATATTTCCATACTTTTTTATGCCAACGGTAGGGGTGGGGGCGAACCTCTAGACCTAGGAACAGGGACTCTAAAGTGTTAGTTATACACATGTGATCTTTGTCCTACATCTGCTACCAGACAGAGCAAGCTATATTAGACTCAAAGGCAAAGGAACAGAAGCTTATGTAAAAAGGAAAGCAGGCAATAACTATATAGGGTAGACATATATACATATTTTTATGAGACTGGCACACTGCACAGCAGGATACACCGCAGTGTAAAATCAGGTCAAACAAATCTAAAACCCTTGTGTTTTCAGTTTGTCATAAACATTTAGGGAAGGGAGTATCATGGCTACTGACCTACTCCTGTATACCTCTAATAGGGAAGGAAGTATAATGGCTACTGACCTATAAATGTATACCTCTAATAGGGAAGGGAGTATCATGGCTACTGACCTATTCCTGTATACCTATCATAGGGAAGGGAGTATCATGGCTACTGACCTATTCCTGTATATCTACCATAGGGAAGGGAGTATAATGAATACTGACCTATTCTTGTATACCTCTAATAGGGAAGGAAGTATAATGGCTACTGACCTATTCTTGAATACCTCTAATAGGGAAGGGAGTATCATGGTTACTGATCTATTCCTGTTTACTTATCATAGGAAAGGGAGTATCATGGCTACTGACCTATTCCTGTATACCTATTGTAACGGACCGTTTTGCCCAAAAGAGGTT